AAAAAAAAAAAAACCTGTCCTCTAAGGTTTTAGGGAGTCATAATCATTGATCCCAAGTCACCATAACAAATATAATCATGAAAAAGTTGAAATATTGCAAGAATTACCAAAACATGACACAGAGACACAAGCTAAGCAACTGCTATGAAAACAAACCTTTCTCACCTCAGGGTTGCCACAGACTTTCAATTTGTAAAAAAACACAGTATATGAGAAGTACAATAAAATGAGTACAATAACACAAGGATGGCTGCATATGACTTCTGTTTCTGCCTGCATAGAATTATTTCCAGATGCTTCTCAATTGTTCCTAACAAGCCAAATGGTAGTGTGTCGAGTTTATCAGGTAACTCATACTTGGAAACACCTCAGAGTTCCCCAGCAGGAAGTACAGGCCTGCACTTCAGAGCCTCCTGGTGCCCTCTCTCTGAGGCTGCTGCCGTGTGCGTGGTTTATAAAGCTAGTTTGTGGTACGTCGGGAGGGGGTGGCCTGCGCCATGTTCCAAGGAGAGGGCAGGACCCCAAATGGGGTTCAATTATGCTTGGGCTCAACGTGTATAGATTTAAATATTAATAAATTTATTTATATATATATATTTATATATATTATATATATATATAATAATTTAAAATTAAATACTCTTGATTCCACAGAGTCTTTCCTCCACCCATTTAAATAGCACAGGTTGCTTTGTAATTTGGCAAAAGAAAAGTGTCCATCCACTTCCATATTGTGTTGTGGGTAGCAGACCAGGTCAGTGCATGACCCTGCTTTGTGCTGAGCCAGAACGTCTGAATCCCTGCCTTTCAATTGCCTGGTTAAATAACTTTGGATGAGTTACTTTGCCTCCTTGTCAAATGAGGTAAATAGTACCCGCTTTCTAGGATTGGGGCAAAGACTAAATGAGATAAGTCAGTCTTGCCCAAATGAATGTACCCAGTGATAAGACACCCCCCCAGCCTGACATGATTCACTTGCATCTAGAAATTCTGGTTCATTAGTTCTGGGATGAGACTGGGACTCTTTTTTCTTGTTTTCTCAAACAAGCGTTTGAGGTGACATGGCTTCAGGGCAAGAAGAGAACCTCTGTAGAACGTTGTCTAAAGGGCCTGACTTGGGGATGGGACACGTGAGAAGTACCCATGATGGCGATGGGGTTGAGTGCTAATAGTAACCGTGGCACTCACTTAGGAGAAACGGAATCTGTGATCTTTAACGTTGACTTTTTTTTTTTCCCTGAGAAGGGCTGCCTTTGAGGGTGCTGTGTGAGCATTGTTTTGTCTCTGATGACCAGTCCTGAATTTCAGTATTCTTCCCGCTCTGCTCTCCCCCGTGGGACTCTGAGGGGAGACCCCTAAGAGAAACTACAGCTCTCCCATCAGCCTTGATGAGAAGATGAGTAATGTTTCAGCCAGTGTCGTCCAAAGGCTGGTGCCCAGCGCTCAGATCACTCTGCAGCCTGAGAAGCAGCTCACACTCTTCCTCGGGCATTAGGGGAAATTTCATCAGCCAAAAGTTTGAGAGACTTTTTAAAACTAAATTTAAACCAAAGAAAAAGCTAAGCACTGTTTCTCAGGCTCAGGGGGACCCTGTGACTGTGTGTAGACTGTGTGTCAATAAAACCAGTCTTGCCTTTGCTCCATTTTTCTCCTTGGGATCTTTCTCCTGTGTTCCTTCAAAAATGACCATTAATGTCTCGTACCCCAGGTCCTCCCAATTCCAGGTCTGTGCTTGTCAAAAGAATACTTTGGAATCTCGCAGAGGATATTTTAGATGAGGGCACATCTGCACGTGTCCAGATTGGGTGGTCTGTGTTTGGGATTGGCCACGAAGTGTCTACAGTACCTGAGCCCGAATGCCTTCTGGAACAGAAGGCCCTGGTAACGATAGCATGCGTGTGTGGGTCCGCTCCTGTTCCTTGTTCTTACCAAGCAGCAACCAGGCAGGTCCCCAGACTGTGTGGACTGCCCCACTATGTGCACTGTTTCTCTTTGCTGGGACCCTTGGAAGTAAAAGCAGTTATTTTGCTTCCTGGTTTTGTTTGGTCCTCATTCCTGGGTGTGGTTAGTGGTGCTCTGTGTCTAAAGCACCAAGCGTGAAGCTTGTCTGTCTCCAGCCACAGCCCGGGAGCAGGATCCTGTGAGTGAGCCTGTCAGGGGTGTGGGAAGATGACAGAAAAACTGGAAGCATTGTATGAATAAAGTGGTTCAGTATTTCTCTTTGAACCCTTGTAGAAGCTTATACAGGTCTGTTGAGTATACATTTAGTTATGAACAGCTTGGCTTTAAAATACCAGCTGATGGGGTAACCAGGGAGGGTCTCCTTGGTCTGTTTTTGGCTCCCCTTCCCATTCTATTTCTGTGCACTGACACCCCCCTGTTTGCAGATGGCAGCTACCTGTCGTCCTCTCACAGCCAGTTCTAGAAGTGGGAGGGCTAAATCTGTGCACAAAATCCTTCCCCACTTTTCTGCCAGGAGAGACCCTTGTGCTCCCTGTGTATCTCCTTTATATTGCAAAAATGTCATTTTTATGCCTTTTGCTGATTAGAAGTTGCATGTCATCGGTGACAGGTGATGACAGCTGACAGCCAGAGAGGAGGGAACACAGGGAACAACAGACCCATAGAGACCCCTGGTCACTCAGGCCAGTCCCTGTGGGGTTGGTGGGAGTAGGGACAGTCCTATGCCTTCTGTACCCTGAGCATCTCCCTGCTGATGACCGACAGTCCTCAAATGTCGTCACAGAAGAGGATGGTTCCTATCTTAGCATTATTATTATTTTTAATCTTTATTTTTGAGAGCGAGAGAGTGGGGGGGGGGCAGAAAGAGGGAGACAGAGGATCCAAAGCTGTCTCCACACTAACAGCAGAGAGCCCGAGGTGGGGCTTGAACCCACAAACCGTGAGGTCATGACCTGAGCCAAAGTCTGACACTTAACGGGACAAGACACCCAGGTGCCCATGGTTTCTATCTTGAGTTTTAAGAGACAAAAAAGTATAACAGATTTTAAAGATGCTCATCTAAAATAATAACAATATTTAATTTGGAGGTTTATTGTAGTAAACCGCAGTTTTTAGAAAACTTAAAAAGGATATCTCTACTGGTTTTAGAGAATAGAGAGCTTAACTTATGTAGGTCCCCCTTTCACCAGCATCTGGGGCCATTTGCTTTTCCTGTCTGGTTGCTATTTATAGGGTCCAGCCCTTGGAAAACCTGCTATGTAGTCTGGTAGCTTCTTAGCACTTCCCCTCTGGTGGAAGAAGTGGTGGGACTTGTCAGAAAGCACCAAGCCACCGAGGAGGGGGCTGCTGACGCGTGCGGCCACCCACAGCTCTGCCCTCCAGGCTGTGGAGCCCCTTTGCTCCATGACATTCCCAGGCGTGGCCAGGCCATCTCAGGGCCCTGCTTCCAGGGCGGCCTGGAAGATGACAAGAACCCATCAGATGCTTGTGTTATCTCTGTTTCAGGCATTCCTCAGCCATGACAAGTAATCGCTCCCACGAAGTCCCGGCCTAAGTTACTGTTTCCATATCCATGTTTGTTGTGGATTAGCCCAAACTGAAATGATCAGAGATGCCTAACTGGTGACCTCATGCTGTTGCAAATTGTCAGAGGAACTGTGTTTCCAAGCTGCAGGCAACTCTCAAGTCTGTGAGCCTATTGTCTGTGTTTCTGGTCGGAATTTCTTATTCTTTATAGGGAGATAGAGGCTCTTCTATGTTAGCATTTGCCATTTTACGTGCAGATGTGCCTGTCTTGTAAGCAGGGCCTTCCCCACCCGTGACTGTTTTGGGTCACTTTACAGTTGACCATTTATGAATTTGATTATTGATGTTGATTTGGTCAGAAGTGGGTTTTCCCAAATGGTAGGCTTTAGGAGAGCAGAAATTTTCC